CCTGGAGTGGCCTAGCTAGTCTCCAGACCTTAATCTGATTGAAAATCTGCGGAGGGAGCTGAAAGTTTGAGTTGCCAAACGTAAGTCACCACCAAACCTTAATGACTTGGAGAGGATCTGCCAAGAGCAGTGGGCCAAAATCCCTCCTCAGATGTGTACAAACCTGGTGGCCAACTACAGGAAACGTCTGACTTCTGTGATTGCCAACAAGCAATTTGCCACCAAGTACTAAGTCATGTTTTGTGAAGGGGATAAAATACTTATTTTTCTCATGAACATGCAAATCAGTGCATCATTTGTTAGACATGCATTTCTTTAGATTTTTTTGTTGCTATTCTGTCTCTCAGTGTTACAATACACCTACCATTCGATTTTTAGACTGATCATTTGTTCGTGAGTGGTCATTTAAAAATCAGTAGGGGATCAAATACTTATTTCCTTCACTGTATATACATGTGTCTGTGTGTATGTACATGTGTATTTCTGTGTATGTACATTTATCTGTGTGTATGCGTGTCTGTATGTGCCTGTGTGTGTGTGTACATGTGTCTCTGTATGTACATGTGTGTGTGTACAGGTGTCTCTGTGTGTGTTTTGGGACTTGAAATTTTAAGCCCTGTACTATGTTATTAATAAAGTCATTAGCTATCTTGTGGCCTGTTTTTAAACACATCCTATCGTAGGATGAGATCTGGATTTTTTTCCAGTAAAAATTAGATTCCGTGCTAAAGCTCAAAAACGCTTGGAAAAACCGCTGGATGAAAAACTTAATGAATTTTTTGTGCCAGCTTGTAGTAGCATTTTATTAGCATTTTTACATGAAGAAGAAAAACCACTTGAAAAAAGCTGTTGGGAGCGTTTTAGTCGTTTTTAGAAGCATTTAGGAACGTTTAGCATTTTTTTCTGCCGGGAAAAAGCTCCCTAAAATTTTACAAAACACAATTTTTTTGTGCTCCTAAATGTTGAAGCTAGAAAAAAGCTTCTAGCATAAAAGAGTGTGCTTGGACACATAGGATAACACTATTATCTTCTAGGAGCAGGTGGACTCAGAAAAGCCCCTAGGAGCTTAAAAAACCACTAGTGTGGATGGAGCCTTACAGTTTTGCCCATGTTTTGTAGTCAGCTATTTGAATAGTAATGTTTTCAGATGCATTTTAACAACTCTTAGCATCCATTCTGCTGTTGAAAGTAGTCTAGGGGTTTTCCAATATTTCAGAATCACGCTCATGGCCACATTTAGGAGATGTGAAAGCAATGTTTCCTAATGTTGGAGCAGACAGAGGCTGTTGTGGAGGAGTCCTTTGGAAAGGTCTCAGTAGTCTCCAAATGGGGTTTAATTAGTGAGCTCCACCACCAAAGATGCCCTTTGCAGAGAAGTGGAATACCATGATAAGCACTGGATGTAAGTAACATGATTGTTCTAACGGAGTAAGAAGATCTAGGTATCTCAATGGTTTTGGAAGGCTCTGGACAAAATTGTGAGTTGAAACCATATCCAGAATTCAAGAGGTGTGGGCCCCCATCTTAATTCAGAAAGTCCAAGAACCCTGCCACCTTTGGTTGCATGGCATAGTAGCAATGGGACCTCAGTTCTCCAGTGTTGAAAAAACCTTGCATTCAGGCCTGAGAATAAATGAGGATTATCTACACTGAGTTTGAGTGGAGAGTTTTGTTCCTAGTGTTACAGTTGTGGGAGCTAATGTGTGGGGAATGATTCTCAAGGGGTCGCTTCCAGTGCGACAGCCTTAAGGATCGGCCACACACCAGCAATCTGTCTGCACTGGTATCTACATTTACATCCACTTATGTGGCTGGCCATCAGGCCATTCATTCAAACGATCCCGCATCTTATACCAGTCCAGCATCCAGTTTCTGCCATCCTCTTCTGATGGAAGTATTCTGTTTCTGAGTCCCACAACCATATATCATCACTGATTTGTTCTTATGTACTATTAGTGGCATCTTGGGTTCTAATCGCTATAATAACAGCTTGCAGCAGAGACCTCATGCCTTTTTTATGCCCAAGTACAGGTTTTCTATACATTTGTTTTAATATGAGGATCTATTATCGATTACCTTGTTTAAGACTGAACTTATAATGTGTCAATAAATGTTTTTTACGATTTGTACTTTGTGTGCTGTGGTTTTACACAGTCATCAGCTTTCCTAAGCACTTACTGTGGACTACTGGATCACTTAGTTACTGGACCAGTTTTGACAATAAGCCCAATTTAAAGTTCTGTCATGTAGTGAGACTTTGTAGTATTTTCTAATATCATGGAAGTCCAAACCCCCATTAACTTTACTTCGAGTTAGTACTCGATTAGGAATTTGGGGCTTTTCATAAATTTGTTGAATTTAGAATTTCACAGATATGTGGATGCTTGCTTGGAGCAATATCTATAACATTTGTCAGCTGAGCATCCTTTTGGCATCAGTAAGTAGGAGGAGCAGGAGTAGTCTGTGCAGGTGAACAAAACTGGTGTTTAAATTGACCTCAGGGAATGATCTTGGGCTTCTCTATCTTGGACAAAAGACAACATGATCCGGGTGGATCCAAAAACAGAGCAGGGGTTTGAATCATGAAGACAGAATTTTTGCATACATTTTCATTTCACCGTTGAAATAAGCCTGAAACTCTGGCATAAAAGAGGGTATTTCCCTTTTTTCATAGTCACTGTGATGTACGCATATATGGGGAGTATAAGCATGGGGTAATGAATTTAATAAGGTTTACAAAGCGGGCAATAGCATTTGTTCAAAACATTTAAAGTATTGGACTGTGTAGATCTGTGTGTCTGGGTCTGAGCTTTTTCCATTAGGCATGTGTGCCTGACTTCTTTAAAATGCTGAGTAGGACCCCCTGGGGCATGGTGATTGGTAGCAATGCACACAGGATTTTGCTATATCCTTGAAGGTATAGTGTATATCTCCTCTGTTGTTTTTAATGCAGGGGATGCATGTTCTAGTCCGTTGGTGTCATAAGGCAGTGACCAGTAGCTTGCCAGGTGTAATGCCTCTTGCATAGTATTTATGGTCTCTCTGTTGGAGCACCCTATTAGAGTCAGTCTATAATAGTTGTTTTAAAGCTAAGGTTTAATGTACACATATACTGTGTAAATATCCCACTCCCATGGATCAACATGCAATTAAATAGTTTCAACCAAATAAATTTTGTTTTCTAGAAATACCTCTTAAGAACCAGTGACATCATTACTGGGTCTGTCTGCTGGTCTTTGCACAGAGACTTGTGAGATGGGCTGGCAGGCGCCTGTAAATGTTGGCCCATCCCTGCTGAACCAGCTGAATTTTGATTCATGTAGGGCTAGCTTAATACTCTGAAACTGGATGGACATCTTTTGGCAAGTAAATGAGCTCTCATAGATATTTTTTAATTTTGGTGTTTTAGGGTTTTTCAAATCTATAATGTCTGTTTTTAATCAACATAAAACACACATAACACTTGGAAAACACTATTGAAACAAATAGTACCATGTCATAGCGATATGCCGTGTTATAAACAAAATTAGAGTACAAAAGAGAATGAATGGCTGTCAGAGGCAAACACTACCTTTTGCTTGCTTGGCAGGATATACAGTGGGGATCGAAAGTTTGGGCACCCCAGCTAAAAATTTGTATTAATGTGCATAAAGAAGCCAAGGAAAGATGGAAAAATCTCCAAAAGGCATCAAATTACAGATTAGACATTCTTATAATATGTCAACAAAAGTTAGATTTTATTTCCATCATTTACACTTTCAAAATAACAGAAAACAAAAAAAATGGCGTCTGCAAAAGTTTGGGCACCCTGCAGAGTTAATATCTTGTACTGCCCCCTTTGGCAAGTATCACAGCTTGTAAACCCTTTTTGTAGCCAGCCAAGAGTCTTTCAATTCTTGTTTGAGGTATCTTTGCCCATTCTTCCTTACAAAAGTCTTCCAGTTCTTTGAGATTTTTGGGCTGTCTGTCACGCACTGCTCTTTTAAGGTCTATCCATAGATTTTCTGTACCCCTTCTTCTCCAAACGTACCTTTGCTCATTCCGGCCAAAAAGTTCAATTTTAACCTCATCGGTCCACAGAACTTGTTCCCAAAATGCATCAGGCTTGTCTATATGTTCATTTGCAAAGTTCAAACAATGATTTTTGTGGTGAGGACGTAGAAGAGGTTTTCTTCTGATGACTCTTCCATGAAGACCATATTTGTACAAGTATCTCTTTATAGTGGAATAGTGTACCACAACTCCAGTGTCTGCCAGATCTTTCTGGAGGGATCGTGCAGTCAAACGTGGGTTTTGAATTGTTTTTCTCACAATCCTGCGAGCTGTTCTGTCTGATATTTTTCTTGGTCTTCCAGATCTTGCTTTAACTTCCACTGTTCCTGATGACTGCCATTTCTTAATTACATTCCGAACAGAGGATATTAACATCTGAAAACGCTTTGCTATCTTCTTATAGCCTTCTCCAGCTTTGTGAGCGTCAACTATTTTTAGTTTCAGTTTTCTAGACAACTGCTTAGAAGAACCCATGGTGCCGATTGTTGGGGCAGGGTCAGATGAGTCTGGGCATTTAAAACCTTTGAGATTGACATCACCTGGTCTTCCCAGACAATGATTGAGAACAATCCATGACACTGGCAGGTCTCAGCTTTGCAAAGGGGGCAGTGCATGCTATAAATTCTGCAGGGTGCCCAAACTTTTGCAGACGCCATTTTTTGGTTTTCTGTTATTTTGAAAGTGTAAATGATGGAAATAAAATCTAACTTTTGTTGACATATTATAAGAATGTCTAATCTATAATTTGATGCCTTTTGGAGATTTTTCCATCTTTTCCTTGGCTTCTTTATGCACATTAATACAAATTTTTAGCTGGGGTGCCCAAACTTTCGATCCCCACTGTAGGTCCTTCTGAAACTAGCCAGGATCAAAACAGCAAGATGTACAATATAATAATTAGTTCCACCATCTGCCAACGAGGTGTTGTGTGCAGAACAATAATATGTTCAGATGCTGCTTACCTTGTCATTTGTCCCAATCTCCATCTCCACCACAGCAGCAGCATTGCTGACTTGGTCCGAGTACCTGGACTGTGATTTTACATCTACTCTCCATTTTAAGCTTTTAAGGGTGTTCTCCCATCTGGTGTGGTTGATCATGCTTTCCCGAATCTTTCTTTTGTGATTCTTCCAAAACTTAGCAATGACTGCAGATTGTTCAACCGTGATTCCCCCTTGCTTTTTAGTCTGTGCTGTCAGAAAAGCCTCAATCTGGTTTGCATCCATGTCGGCAGACACTACAGACTTAAAATAAAGGAGAGAAAAAATAATATTTGTGAGCTATGTAGAGAGAAAATATGTGGAACGAATATTGTATCTAGACTGTATACATTTAAAAACAGAGGATCAGTAAATTTAAAACTGATATTTCAGTTTAGGTTTGACGCTAGCAAGTTGGTGCCCACACTGGCTTTTTTTGGTAAATAAATAATCCCCCATAAAAGCCCCGATGATGTTTCTCTTATGTGCGATGAAACATTTGGAGGTCTGCAACATAATTTTCAGTCTAATTTGGCCCATTATTGGATTTATGATTGGAACTTTGTTTCATTTGTTTGTCCCTAGATCCACTTTTTTTTGGATACCAAGCAATCTTCATAGATAATATATGGCTCAAATCCAACTAAATGGAGATGTGTTGCTAGTGACGCTATATCTATTTTTTAAATCAATTGGGTTGTAGATGTTGATATTTGAGGTACGATCTTCATATGGAGGTGGGTTCGTGCTGTCACTGGGATGGTTCTGACATATATGGGATAGATCATGTTGGTGTTTTCCATTTTGTTATGCAGTAGTCCTCTGCAAGCGTTGCTGATTTTGAGCCCCTCCCCACGAGCCCGGCAGGTGCATGTCATTGTACACGCATTGTTGTACATGTGAACACAAGCTAATAAATTTATGTGTATAAACACACATGTATTATATAATTTTTTTTTGTTTTCTTTTCTTCTTTCTCTGTGACCTTTCTGATTTTGCAATTCAGAGTGTGTATTTATCAATTGGGGTTAATTACATCAACTATGTCTGTCATGTAATTGTTACATATGGATTGCTTATAGTGCTATGACTGTTATATGATGTCATTATATATATTTTGTCCTAGTTTTTGTACAAACGAGATCCAAGGTCCTGAGGAAGCAGTTTCTGTAAAACGCGTTGGCCATTTAAGACAAGGATCTTTTGAACAGTTTTATGGTTATATTCCAAGCGACATTATTAATTTTATTGTTTTTTTTTTTGTGATGTGTATTTGTGATATTAATATATGTGAATAATAAAATATTGCTTTTATGTACTAATATTTGTTCTTGTTTTATACCTTGGGAGGTACATTGACAGTCCCAACTCTAAGTGCTGTTGTTTAACAAATCAAAAATTTGATACTACATTATAACAATACATCAGCATATACATAGATATACAGCTATATAGATACAATCCTCTAGAAGTCTGCCCTCTACTTCCCAAGTTAATATGCCTTATGCTATATAAATACCTTTAAATCATAACATAAAGTCATCCTAATTATAAACATATAAGATTAATTTGTCAAAGAACCATAAATTGAGAACAGCACTGTTCATTCAAAAGGGTTCCCTCCGATCTTCAGGTACATAAATACATCATATTAAAAATTGGAGACAATCATTTTATAAATACACATGTACGAGTTTATAAATTATATGTTTATGTATCCAAGTTAATGTATTGGTATTATAAACACAGAGGGATAATAATTACACGTATTTGCATATTTACAGAGATCCTCTATATTACTGAAGAAGCTCAGAGTGAAACGCGTTGAATGAACTGTGCTGCTCAGTTTATGGTTCTATGACAAATTCATTTAATGACATATCTAGGATGACTCTACGTTATTCCTTAAAGATATGCTAAATTGCTTTGGGCTATACATATAAGACGCAGAGAGCAGGCTTCCAGAGGATTCTATCTGGATATCCATGCATATGCTGACGTTTGTTATTAAGCAGTATTCATTTATGATTTGTGTAATATTTTAATCAATTTTGTCCAATAAACTCAATGACTACATTTTTTAAAAAGATAGATGGTTGTGCTGCTGTAAATTAGGGGTCTCCAAGACATGGCCCACTGGCCACATCTGGATTTGTTAAAAGTTATGTGACATACACTGTATATACTCTTCTGGGAAGGCTATCCACAAGGTTTAGGAGTGTGTCTATGGGAAATTTTGACCATTCTTCCAGAAACGCATTTGTGAGGTCAGGCACTGATGTCGGACGAGAAGTCCTGGCTCGCAGTCTCCGTTCCAATTCATCCCAAAGGTGTTCTATCGGGGTGAGGTCAGGACTCTGTGCAGGCCAGTCAAGTTCCTCCACCCCAAACTCGCTCATCCATGTCTTTATGGACCTTGCTTTGTGCACTGGTGTGCAGTCATGTTGGAATAGGAATGGGCCATCCCCAAACTGTTCTCAAAGTTGGGAGCATGAACTTCCAAAATGTCTTGGCATGCTGACGCCTTAAGAGTTCCTTTCACTGGAACAAAGGGGCCAAGCTCAACCCTGAAAAAAAACAACCCCACACCATAATCCCCCTCCACCAAACTTTACACTTGGTACAATGCAGTCAGGAAAGTTCCATTCTCCTGGCAACTGCCAAACCCAGACACATTCATCGTATTGCCAGACAGAAAAGCATGATTTGTCACTCCAGAGAACATGTCTCCACTGCTCTAGAGTCCAGTGGCAGCGTGCTTTACACCACTGTATCCAACGCTTTGCAATGCACTTGCTGATATAAGGCTTGGATACAGTTGCTCGGCCATGGTAACCCATTCCATGAAGCTCTCTATGTACTGTTATTGTGAAGGCCACACAAAGTTTGCAAGTCTTTAGCTACTGACTCTGCAGACAGTTGGCGACATCTGCGCTTTTTGCCCTTCCGTATGTGCTGACCCCACTATCATTTTACGTGGCCTACCACTTTGTGGCTGAGTTGCTGTTGTACCCAATAGTTTCCACTTTGTTATAATGCCACTAACAGTTGACCATGAAATATTTAGTAGCAAGGAAATGTCACAGATGAACTTATTGCTCCAGAGAGTGACCCATTCATTCACAAATGTTTGCAGAAGCAACCTGCATGCCTAGGTGCTTGATTTTATACACCTGTGGACATGGAGGTGATTGGAACACCTGAATCCAAGGATTGGGAGGGGTGTTCCAATACGTTTGGCAATATAGTGTGTATATATAGATATATATATATATATATATATATATATATACACACATATACATATACACACACAAGCAGTGCCTTATCATAACATTAGCTAATAAACTTGTTTATGTTGCTGCAATGCAGGACCTGCCAGTGCCTCTTACATTGGACTGTTTGTATCTACTTAAAGCGGAGCTCCACCCAAAAGGGGAAGTTCTCCTTTAAGACATCCTTCCCGCTCCTCTGCTTACCTTGGCATGTAATTTTGGAGGGGGAAATCGGGTACCTAGTTTTGACAGGTACCTGTTCCCACCACTTCTCCCCCCCCCCCCCACTCTCCCCGCAGACTTGTGGGACCCATGATGGATCCCAGAAGACTGCAGAACCATTCACAAAGCGCAATGCGACTCGCACATGCATAGTGGGCACCCAGGCTGCCCACAGTTAGGATGCCAGCGCCAGGAACATGGAATCTAGTTAAGAACTAGCCCGGCTGAGGACGGCGCTGCATCTTGGGACAGGTAAGTGTCCATTTTATTAAAAGTCAGCAGCTATAGGATTTGTAGCTGCTGACTTTTATTTTTACTTTTTTTTTTACAGACTGAACCTCTGCTTTAATTGCATGCACTCGGGAAGTCACCAACTTTATCTGAGTACAATATACACCATTGGACTATTTATATATATAGTGTGTGTGTGTAAAACATTATTACTATTGCAGACTGGACCCAACTGGAGGAAAGAGCTCTAGTAGAGCTCCTTAGTAGGATACTAAGACTTCATTTTTACCTACATATACTTATATGGGGGTCAGTACTGCAGGGTGTGATTGGAACTAGGGTATGCAGAGAGAAGCAGAATAGTACAACGAAAGGCAGAAAGGTTGCTTCCCCGTGTTTTGGCAGAACAGTCCAGTGGACACCAACAATCAGGGAAGGTAAATGAACAGCAGAGTGGATTAAAGATCCAAAAAGAACATAAACTTCCACGTTTTCTAACAACAACCTCTAAAAACAAAATGGCGACAGAATACTGCGTTGCTTTCTGTGCTATATATAACATTTGAGATGCAAATAGCAGTGATAGTAAGATCGGTGTTATATGACAAGCTTCAGATGTGAGGCCCCTCAGGGACAGAGAGCTCTGAGCTTTTTGGAGATAAAGCTAGAGAGGAGATTATTTAAGAGTAGGACACTACTGAACTGTATGAATAGGTGGGAGTGTTGCCAATCCTCTCGCTCCTCATGCCACTTTCAGGTCAAGTATCTGTCAAAGAGATACTACTGCCTCGATCCTCCTTTTCACAGGAAATTTTATTCCAAGAATTTATTTTGTTGTATGGTAGCTCTTTTATAATAGAGTGGCTTGCCTATTAGATATTAAGCTTGCAGCTTCAGAAAGAAATCTTTTGTTGTGCACCGTAGTGGAAATGTACCAAGAGCGCTCTTTGCCAGGAAAGACAGGATTATCTTCAGCTAAATATTTTCAACATGTCTGCCAAATATTTTCCCATCAATGAAATCAAATTACAGTCCTACTGTACAGAATGACGACAATAAACTGCGTCCTGATGAAAGGGAATCAGTTGCTTCATTTTGAGATGGCGAGAGCAAGTTTGCTTGTTCAGTATATTTTAGGCCTAAAGAAAATTAGTAATGTTACCCAAAGAGTGAAGGATTTGTAAGGTGAACAGTCAATATCATTTGCAATGCTAAATGACTAACTAGGAAAAAAATGCAGAGCTTTTTCATCCTGTGAAACTGCATAAAAATCTGTTTTGTGTAAATACAGAAAAAAATCAAACTGTTACTAGCTTGTTTTCTCTCCAGGTTGGATGTTCTTCACTCATAAAAATAGCATAGACCAGGAAAATATATCTGTATTTATTTTCTATTATCATCAGCTCCATCTAGTGGCCAAAAGGCTGTATTTTTTTCTGCAAATTAAATAAACACTTTTTTAGGTGTATGTAACAAATCACCCATTGCAGAAGACTTCAGATCTTGCTGATCCAGCGT